TGGAGGTTAGGCGCGTGAAGAAAAGGTGGGAAAAGGGACAAAAAAGGAGAGCGTGGGGTTCATGGAAGCGCGTGAAAAATCCAAATCCAATTGGTTGATTCGTCAATTATTTAGTACAAAACAAGATCTGGTAATTCAAGATTTATATGCATGGGACTTCTGAACTTTTTTTCTTTTTTTTTTAATTCTAAAATTGGGGTTTGGATTTTTTTTTTCAAGGCTCGAGATTCTTAGGGAACTCTCTAGTGTCTATCATCTCATTTTCTAATTTTTTTAGGTGGATTTTTGTAATTTTTAAATTGATTTTTTAATTCATCTTAATAATTAGGATTTTTTTAATACAATAAATTATATGGATGTTTGAACATTAGACTTCAACAGAAGTAGACATAGATACTAATTACTGTCGAGTTATTAACCTTATAATTGTTAGGTGACACAAATCACAAGATTTTTTAGTTAAAAATTTTCATAAAGAGAGGTAAACTTTACCTTAATATGTTTACCATTAAATTAGCATACTTAGTACTGGCCGATCAATAAATAATACGTATCTGTAATCGTTGTACTTTGCTTGAATTATCAACTTAAATGATATGTTGATTTGATGTTCTATCGAATAAAATTTAGATATGGCATGACTAACAACAATTAGTTTGATGAACTTTACAAATCATTTAAATACCCATCAATCATCACATCGATGTGCCTCCTTATAAATCCATATTACAATGGTGTCCAAAATGTATAGGTTTTCATGTTTATTGAATGGCTCCATTCTTTAATGCCTAAAATAGCAATCAATTTATCAATAGGTTCTTCCTTACCAATCACTCCCAAATTAAAAAAGAAAAATAAAGTTATAAATAAGAAATAAATTTTTTTTGCCAACGTGAATATAGTTAAGAATATAATTTCAGACACTTATTGTCGTGATTAACATTCTTTAAGAGACGCAAACAGTTTCAAGTCTGGAAATCTAAGTCTCAATATAACTTGTAAAAATTTCAAAAAAGTTTGTGTAAAATAAACTAAAAACAGTCCCAAAAAGCTTTAAAAAAATACAAATCTGAAAACTTTGATAAATGTTTCACAGTTGAAAACTAACCACCAAGCACCATTTCTGTTTAAAATTTATCAAATTGTGAGTCAAAAACTAAGTCCCAATGCTCAAAGTGGGGGAACAAAATTATTGGATTAAACCAACAAATTTAATGGTAAAAATCATAAAAAAATCTAG